GCGCCACGTAATTGTGAAGTTGCCTTTTCCTAAAGGAATTGTGAACTAGCATATATTGAAGAAACTAATGGAACAGAGGCAAATCAGATACAGAAGAGTTTGTCTGAGTGTAGTTTGACACAGATGTGGAGACAAATCGAGAGCGCAGAGAGGGCTGGCCTTTTTGATGAACTAGCTAGTGATGGATGCCTCTCCAGAGGATCCTTTGCTTCCAAGAGGGAAATAAAGCATAATTGAACTTATAGATTGTTTTCTCTACTGAAATGTGTGTGAGAACTCTGATGGATGGAAGCTCTAGTAAAGTTCCTAGTGAACTGAACTAACCTGGCTGAGTGGGGTAATGGATTTATGGCTTGCATGCCATCACATACTAGGCTTGTGTATTCTTGAATCAATGCTGTTTTATTTTAAAATTCTGAATCTTTTACTGGTACTTACATGGGGTTTCTTTTCTTTTTTTTTTTTTTTTCATTTGCTAGACCTTTTCAGTTTTTCCATTTCTTTGGTTACTAAGATATCACATGGATTATCTATAGAAATTTTTTATTTACATTAAATAGATTATGTATGATAACTCCTGGAAAACATGCAAATGTCATGTAAAATAAACATTTGGAAAGGGAACAGTTATTGCTCAGGACAAGATGAGGGGGGTTGATTTTCAGGGGAACTGAGAAAATCTGGGGAAGTGATAGAACTCTTCCAAATCTTGATTATGGTGGTGGTTATCCAAATGTATGCATTTGTCAATAGCTCACAGAACTGTGCACTTCAAAAGGATGAATTTCAATGCATATCAATTACAACTCAGTTTTATTTTTTTAAGGAGATTAAAATTTCCAAAAATAAGAAGCACTGAGTTCCACAGGAACTAGGGTCTGGGATGGTTTGGTATTGTGAGGTATATATTTCTTATTTTGGGGAGCAACATGCTGTATTGGTTAAGAACATGGCCTTTACAGCCAGAGGACCCGAATTCACCATGTATATTCTCTGTGGCCTGTTTCTTAATCTGTCAGCTGGAGATAATAACAGAATATACTTCATGGGGCTGTTAGGATTAAACAATGTCAACTACAGCACAGAGGAATGGGCACTGAAAGCTTAAGGCTTTTTGACGGGAGAATTCCCTAGCAGTTTTCCCCTCACCTCACATTTGCTAAGGTCATCCTTGCCTTAGTTTGAAAAATAGTCTTCATCACATACCATCCCCTCAATGTAACTCTGCCCAGCCTGCCATATCCCGCAGCCACTGCTGAGTAAATGCCCTGGAATAAACCTGAGAGAGAGAATAAATCACCTCTTGTGCCATGTTCCCTCCAGGTGAGGACTGAGGTCATTGCAAGAGGCATAACAAATAGTCAACATAATGCACCAAACTAATAGATTCTATAAGGAAAACTAAATGGAAAAATTTTCTTGAATGCTGGGCAACTCTGGCCGAAGAGACAGTGGAGCCAGCGTTATTATAGATGTTGTTGAATCAATAATACTTTTTCATTCATTTCTTTTTCATTTCACAAAACTGCCCATTTTAACCAGCAAAGAGGTGAGGAGATATTATCAAGGGCCATTTTTCATGTTCATATGGATTATATTCTGGGACACACTGCTCTTCTAAATAGCCCTATTTCTGTTATTTTTTTTCTACTTAGAAATGTATTCAATTCTCTTCCAGCAGTGGGAGTTCATTTGGAAATCTATGACAATCAATTAAGCAAATGAGAAAATAGAATGCTTGTAATTATGATAATCAAGCGATATGAAACCCACCCTCTTAGGTTTGATACCCATGCATCTTTAAGCAATATATTAATTAAACTGTGGATAATTGTTACAATTAGAATCAAGCTTTTATCGTTTTAAAAAATCGCCCTGAAAAAGAAAAAGGAAATATTTTAAAAATATATGCAGCTGTCAGTTTTTGATGTAATTCATTATCATGACTGCTTTGTCATTTCCTTAGCTACATGGAGAAATGATTTCAACATGCTTTATTGATGTGATTCCTTATTCATACCTGGAGACACTTTGTCTGTAACCCCATTTTCTCCTATTTCTCCTGGTCAGAGGTTGTCAAACTTTTCCTATAAAGGACCCATAGTGAAGTCCTGAACTTCAGCATGCATAAGAATCACCTACGGGGCTTGTTGAAATAGATTTTTAGTAAGGACCAAAGTTTTTAGTAGGGACCAAAAATTCCTTGCATTTCTAGCAAGTACCCAGATGAATAAAATGTTCCTGGTCTGGGGACTATATTTTTAGAACACTGCTTTTCATGTTAGTCCTTTAAAAAAGTCAAGTGGAATACAAATCTGTATACTTGTGTTTTTGTTGTTTAATCACATTATTTTTTTCTTACCTGATAGATTCTACCTTTTGGAAGTGCAAGAAACAGAAGGAATACATCTGAAGTTAAATTTCAGTTAATAAATGAGTACCTGCTTAACTAGATCAGAATTGGAAAGAAAAAAAAAAACAATGAAGCACCATTTTGTTTCTTAAATAGCTTAATCTCTTGTTTATGCAGTTAGGTATTAGCAATGTCTACTTGTCTTTGGTTAAAGAATGTCTGAATAGTTATTTCCAATCCCATTAAACTTTAAGGGTGTATGCAATATTCCAAAGGATATACGTGGGTGAGGTGTAAGAATGACATCTCTTTTGTTTTAGATTTGACATGCCCTAATTCACCAAGTACGTTATCAATATAATGCCATTGGAATTTGTCCTTAAAACAGAGGACAGTTAAAACGCCTCTGTGAGGCCATCTAGATACCTGTTTCCTAAATCCAGAAGTGGATTTAGCCCAAATTCTACTTATAGGACCAAATGGTGTCCAAGCTAACTGTTGGAGTTGTTCTGGGCTCTTGGGGATGAGCTGTGATGGGGATGAGTCATCACCTACACTGAGGTTAGGGAGACCTTGGTAAATTGTGGACATCAATTAATTTTCACAATCACATTTCTCCAAAGAGATTCATGCACAAAAACCCCAACAAAATGGATTATGTTCTTCTTCTGTTTATTTGCCTCAATGTTTAAAAAAATCAGCTTTATGGAATTGTACTCTTCCTCAGGACAGATGGGCCTGTACATTAGCATCGTGCTTTCAATTAACAGTTTACATTTCAAGAGGAAGGTGAAGAAACTGAATGTAAAGACATCTTCAGCATCTATTTGTCATTTTTAGTTTTATAACATTGATACAAAAAAATAGTATTCTGATTAGCAGCTTGATTGGCAACCCATGTAACCCTAAATAGTACTACAAACCCGGAGAGTGCACTTTTACAGACAATTACTTTTGGCGAAACCATATGTACAATTTTGAACAAATAAATACATAAATACAATCATTCATATATAACGATATACCTAAATGTCAATTATCAACAAGCGTTTCTAGTAAATTACTTCTTTCATTCACAAGTTACTTTGTTGCTTATAAAAACTATCTTCACCTTTACAGAAGAAATGACATAATCAATTCCCCCACTGAACCCACATATTAGGAAAGGTAGAAAATATCCCAGATGCTGTACAGAAATATTCCATTGTCTTTTGGTAGAAGAAATTTGATTGAAAAACTCCTTCCTTGGCTTCTCTGTAAAGAGTTTGTTTTCCGCATATCGTATCACACAAGGGGTTTTGTTCTTCTGAATTTATTCCAAATTGAAAATGATCTTCACTTTTTGATTCTGGTTATTTCAAAGTACATTATTGTGTATTGAAACTGCTCCAATATAAGAAGACACAAAGCCACGCAAACTAGCCACCAAAGATAAAACTTCTTTTCAAAAAATAAATTTGGAAAAAAAACCCTTTAAGAACATAGACACTGATTATTGATACCCATTGTTATCTGGTGCATAATGAAAAACAGGTGGGGGAACAGTTTTGTAAAAACTGTCTGAATGACTCCTGGTGGAATACTGCCATTAGTTATTTATGTCTTTGCAGTGCTGGGATGGAACCCAGGGCCTTGTATGTGGTTGGCAAGAGCTCTGCCACTGAGCTACATCCCTGGCCCCAGAATACTGCCATTATTATGAAACATTATTTTATGTCAAGGAAATGATAATAATGGATTCACAAATAATTGTGACAATTTGGCCAGTGTCATGTCAAAAAGTTAACAAAAGTAGAAAGTTAGAGTTTTTTCTTGATCACTTCAATTTTTTTTTTTTGAACATTCAGAAAAGAAAGGGCAAACATGCTTAAGGCTATTGAAATACTGGACAAATGGCCTTGCCTCACCGAGCTCCATGCAGAAGAAAATGTTACATAGCAGGCAGAGTCTAGCTGTACATACAGTTGGGGAGAAGAAAATAATGGCTTTAAAATATATACATGTGGTCTTTGATGAATATTTACATATTTGTCACATGGGCACTACCTAGCATAAAAAAGTTAGGTTTTTAAGATGTATGATTTTCTGATTTTTGCTCCTTTTCAAGATTAGGGCTTTATTCATACTCTATACACACCTGTATAAAATAATTCAGAGATGTACATATATAATGTTTATAATGTGTGATTTCTTGACATCAAAGGTGGCTTGGCTGAGCGTGGGGTTGATGCAAGGCAGTAGTATGAGACGTGGACTTGATTCAGCTGCATGGTTGGGAGGTGAATCAAGAATGAAGTCATGAGACTTCCCCAGTAACTGGAACTCACAGCAATTGAGGCTACAGGGTGGGAGGGTGGTTCACCTTGTGCTGCTCCATTTCTCCCAAGGTCACTAACATTGTTCTGTAATCAAAATCATCAGTCTTGCTAAACAGAGATGAGATGTATTAAGGGACAGGAAGTCCTGTCTTATACTGGGAACTTTGGGGCTGGAGATGAGAGATCCAGTGTCTTCAAGAGATAGGCCTTGACTTCTGTTTGTTCATTTTGTTTGCCATTGACTTCTATGGGGGCTCCCAAAGGTCAGGTTAAAAAAAAATAAATAAATTAAAAGGTGTACTCTTTCAGCTGGGGACTTTTTTTTAAAAAAAAAAAAACAATGAGTTTTCTAAAGAATGGGAGATGTGCAATGTGTAGGTTCGCTGAGTGCCTGTTTTTCTGATAGAAGTGATTCTCCCTGTCCTCAACGCTCTTAAAGATAATTCAGGCAAAATGTTTCCTGAGACCTAAGTTGTCATGATGCGTTTTGCAAGTGTATGCTTCACTTACTGTAATAGACTCCCAGCCAATGCTTCCCCTAAAGAAAGAACAATGCCTTCACCTACAGCCCCTGGGGCTAGCAAAGAAACACACGGAAAAGATAGCTTACTCATTGAAAACAGAAGAGATGGCAGAGAAATTGAAGCTTCGCCAAACAACTAACTTATAGCCAAGGAAAAATCAAAGTCTTGGAGGAATTAAGAACACTGATAGTTCATAGTTCATCTTTATTTTGGTAGATTTTATATTAAGATGATGTACTACTACTGATGACCATCATTATAGTTATAGTAATCCTTTTAGCATTTGGCATAATGCATGATACATTGCATTATGTAGCACCTTTTAAACTAAGAATCTCAAAAATCTTAGCAAATGCAATTTGCTCTCACAGCACCTGTGAGGTAGGTGTTTTTTTTTTTTTTTAAACAGCCATTTTACAAGTGAGAATATTGAAATACAGCAATGTTAAAAGGCCTGCTCATGTGATTTGGTGGCATTAATAGAATCCGAACCCAGGCTTCCCCACCCTTCCTTCCTATGGTACTCCATCACATAGCCCCGAGAACACCTTATAATAGCTTTGCTGTTGAAGGTACTTGGATATTTCTGGTGTTACTATCACTTCTATCAATGGTAGGGCCAAATCTTTCAATAATATGGTACCTGTTATGCTTTGCAAATGTGTGGGAAGGGCATCTTATACTATTTCTAAGCTTATGTTAATTATAATGTATACCTAAATTCATATTTTCTCAATGTGATTCATTGTTCTCTGGCTTCCTACCAGCTTGTTTTCTACATATGGAGACATGTGCTTGCCTGATCCAGAAACTGAAAAGCATTTAGCAGCATTATGCAGAAGGAAGCAGGTGAGATTATTACATTTGGCAAAGTCTCCTTGGAGGCACCGTGTAATGTTCCAAAAGAGCAGAAATTTTTTTTTTTGTTTAAGTAGCATTTTATACACATTCTACCTGCTGACCAGGTTTAATCCTCGGATGAGCAAGTAGAGTTGCCTTTCAAACACACAGACTATTTGATTCTCAATTTTAAGTTCCCATCCATTTCACTGCAGCCTCTCTGCCAGTGTTGGAACCACAAATACTGTACACATTACATGGCAACATATGTAAAAATTCAATGTAACAATAACACACACACACACGGTATTAATAATCACATCCAGTGTGTCTTCCTGACTGTGCATCGTTTCTGAATTGTTTTTGAAAAAGTTGTTTACTTATCTACTTATTTTTGCAGAGATGATGTGAAGATGTTACTGTAAGTTTCAGTTTCCCAGAACCAGATTTTTATCTCAGATGCACAGTGCATAAATCCTAGGAGTTGTCTGGAAGTCACTTTTTTTTTTTTTTTTGATAAATTGCATGTCTTAGGACCTGAGAATGAAATTTGGTCCTTCTAATTCTTTTATTGTTTCTAAGACAGAAGCTTAGCATTTGTGAATTGGTAATCCAAGAAGGAGCTAGGAGTAGGAGGCAAAAATCTGTACAAAACCCCTTCACCGGTTCTTTTCCCCTGGGGACACCTGTAATATACCAACACCTTAGGCCCCATTTCTTAAAAAAAAGAAAAGAAACATATTTACATGGGTAAAAATTTTAACATCTGAGGTGTTTCTTGCTTGACATGTCATTCCAGATTCTGTGCATTTCTTCTGGAGAGATCTGATGCACAGTGATAACTCGGCGATACCGACACAAACTGTAGGCCATTTTCCAGTGATTGAAGCCACTGTTCTGGAAAGGATGTATGCCTAGCTTGCGGAGACACAGTCCCACATATACATCTTCAAGGTGAAGCAGCCTTGTGTGCAGTGAGGTCTTGTAAATGAGTTCTGCCACATCAGCTGAAAAGATGTAGCCAGTCCCAGAACAGAATGGTGGGTAGTTGCTATCAGGGTACAAATCTCTGGGCATATACCACTTACTGCGGACATCCCGGATGGGCCCTCCGTTGATGACATAGCCAGTGAAATACCTTCTTCTTGGCTTGGTGGAGGGTTTCAGGAGTTTATAAATTAGGTTGTCCATGTTTACAAAAATGTCACTGTCTGTTTTCATGACGTACTTGGCTTTTGAGCAGAAAGTGGCCACCCATCTCATCCCCATTAATGTTTTGAGAGTCAGGTTATGGTAGGAGTCAATGAAGTCCTCCACAATGATGTCGTGGAAGATCTGGCTCTCCTGCTCCACCATCTGATTCAGAACAGGGTCTGCATTCTTGCCCAGAAGGAAGAGGGTAGCTATCTTGATCCCTTTAAAGTTGTCCTCATCCCCCCACGTCTCCCGGATGGCCTGGCGGGCATCGAATTCCTTGTGGGTTGTGCTGATGAGGATAACAAGAAAAGGAATGTTTTTCTCACATTTGTTGGGCTCGTTTATTAGAAATTCAAAAGAATGTGGGTTTATAGGTCGAGTTCTTATGTTGCCAAATGTAAAGTTCTTCCTGGCAACTGTTAGGTGGCTGAATGGCTTGGAGCCAGTGTAGGATGAAGTAGGACGAGTCACGCTCAAGTACCAGAGAGCGCTGGCCCAGCACACGACCGTCAAAACATATAAGCAGGAGACCTTTGAAGCCATTGTCTTGAGAGCGTGTCTATTCCAAATATTGAAGAATATACCTTCTTGGCATTAGATTTTTTTTGCTTTGCAAAGGCAGCATATTATTAATAAAACTTAAAGTTTGATAGAGAAGAGTGAGTTGTGGATTGTCCATGGGCCTTAGCAGCAGTCTAGCATGTCTGCATTCAACTTACTTTCTTCCAAACCAGCCGAAAGGTTCCAGGTGTCATAAATCTTCCTCTTAACTCTGAAAAATCAATAAAGTATAGTTTTTGTTCAGATTTATTTGTCATTTTTACATCCTCAAGTAAACATAGTAGGGGTATAAGAAATAACCATGATGGTTAAAATAAACATGATCATTCATTTTCATAAGTCCTAAAAACTTCATGATATAACCACTCCACTTCTCCTCTCCCTATAACAGAAGTTGTTTATGAATATATATGCCCAATAAACAAATACATAGACTATAAACTCTAGATGAATATGAGGTAAACATCATTAGAAAAATCTTAAAAATATCCCCTTCTTCACAAGAGGACTTCTTTGTAGTTGAATACTTTCTGGCACTAAAATCTTCTTTCAAACAGGAAAGAATCACACATGGCCTCAGATCTCATTCCCATTTTTTTCATGTCTGAGCTTTTGTTTGCTTGATTCTGATGAAGGAATCAATTATCAGCATCTATTTGTTTTTTCAAACTCTACCTTTGACAATGTGTTGATCACCACTGGAAAGTCTCCACTAATACTGAGTCTCTCCTGGAGAGAAAGAATTCCCAGCTGTTCCTTACTGTCTCCTTACTTTGGCTCTCACAACTCTTGGCTCATAACTCTGCTTCCTATGAGGCTTGCCATGGGGCCTATCCTATCCTTCATGCAAGGAAATCATTATTACCCAAGCATCCTTTTAGACAGCTGGTAGCATTCACCTTGGGGTTGGTCTAAGTTGCCTTTTATGGTTTGCAGCAATTCACCCATATGTTCCCTGGATGAGATTATTCTGACCCCTTTTAATACATTTTTACTTAGCTACACTTGCCGGTAAACATTGCAGAAGTATAATGGGAGAGACAACTGAACTTGAGGGCTATAAATTCAATGACCATGTGGCCAAAGAGTAACTGGTGTTCAAATTAAGAAGCTGTCCTCAGGAACACTAATCCTTTCTAGAACTTTTTATATTTCCTAGAACTTTTACATTTTATACCAGTTAAAAATATATGCCAGGTTACAAAGTTCATTCATATAAAAATTATTTCATCCTTCCCAGTTAGAGCAAAATATAGTAGCCCTGGAAAGTAGATAGAGTAGATGATAGATATCAATTTCAACAAAGCCTGCTTCAAAGAAATCTATGTTTAAATGTGACCTATGTTGAAGGAATTTCACTAGGATTACAGATTGAAAATCAGGCTTCTAAGCACAATAGTCATAATGAAATAAAAAGACACAAGGGGCAATAGCAGAGACAAAGTACATACTCTTATCTGCGTGAAGAGCTAATTGTGAATGTGCGGTCCATATGAGAGCTGCAATAACTCAGTGTGGTTAGGTTCTGAGTATTAGAGTGTCTTCCAGCAACATGACTATGGGCAAAGTCAGGCCCCATTTGGCCCATAGTCAGTACTCTGTAATTACATGATCTAGTATTTTTGGCCTTCTGGAAGAACTTTTTGCTCTAAGGAGCAGGAAAGCTGATAAAAAGGACATGATGAATGGCCTCAAGCAAAGAAGAAAATTTTGAAACGTGGGACAGTAAGAAAAGGGAAGTGAGAAAAACTAATAATAAAGAAGTTAGGAAAGGGCTTCGCAACTTGGGATATACAAATATTGTCTCCATTTCAATTCCAAGGGTTTGTGAGTCCCAAGATGGTACTAGGAAACCAACTTTGTCTATCATTGTCTTAGCCTATATCTCATCCTGTTGCTCTTGTCCCCTTGCTTACTAACTAAACTGCAAGCAACCCATGACTAAGATGTCAAAGAACTGTGAAACAGCCTCGCCTGGAACAGGCTAGGGAATCTTTAGGAGGCATTAACTAAGTTACTAATGGAGGATTTATTTCTTCTACATTTTGATCTCCTAATTATTGTCTCTTTCCTGACCTTACAAAGTCAAGTTACTATCCTCACTTCTGTAGGTAATCCTTCATTTAACGCTTGAATTTACATAGTCATTTGTGAGTTCACTTATCCGCCAATCACCAATTAATCAAATATTTATTGAGTACCTATTATATGTGAAGTAATGAGAAGAGAGATAGAACCCATATTCCAGCATCAAGAACTCCTACTCTAGGAGGAAAGATTTCAAATAAATTATGTAAAAATTTTTATCATTAGGTTATTGGAGTAGGTAGAAGCGGTGGGGTGGAGAACAGAACATAGGAGGACAAGGTACAATCCTGGAGCCCATGCCCAGGACAGCTTCGGGGAGCCACTATCCACATAGGCTGTGATGTATATCTCAATCCCCAACCCCATCCCAGAGTCAAATAACCAGGGAACCCCGGGGAGGATGGCATGGAAAATTGAAAAAATGTGAGCTAAGCTAAATATTCAGGTATTCCTACCTAGGAATTATCTGGATGGAAGTTGGGCATTCTAGGCAACAGGAACATCATATATAAAGGTATAAAATGAGAGGGAGCATGATATGTACCTGGGTATGAACTGCTGAGAGAAGAAAGAGCCTGGTGAGGAGGGTGGGTGTGTGAGAGGAGGTTACAAAGATGAGCAGGGTCAGATGGTAAGTGGTATCCAGAGACATTCTGCTTGGGGTAGCTGGTTACCCATTTGAATACAAACTAAAGGGTATGAGGAAGAATTTTACCTTCCCCAAATTGCACCCACTGACTTTAATAACAATTCCTTCTTCCATGCCAGGGATGTCTTTCTCCTATATCTCTATGTACTAGGAGAATAAGTGAGGATTTGTTTTATTTTATACAATTCTGTGAGATTTTTCTGGGGGGAAAGGAATGCATAGATATAGATACCTAAGAGGTTAGGAATGGGCTTGGAAAGGGAAAAATATGAGAAACAGGTGAGATCATGAAGAAAATATATGTATTTTTGCCAAACAATGAACATTCCTCCTGGACAACTAATAACCATAAGACTTCTTCCCATTATTATTGGTCGCTATCATTTTAAAAATGCATATAATGGACCAGGCACTATGCTATGTGCTGTGTTCTATGCTATTCTATCCTATTTTATAGAGCTTCATTCCTTAGAGTATTATAAGAGAAGTCTCATTTTCTCCATTTTACAATTTAGAAAGTGGAAACCCAAAGGTATTATAGTTTGTTCAAGATCATGCAGCTAGTGGATAACCTGGAAATGGTCATTCCCAGCTTCCTAAGGCCTGTTCGGAACACAGGCATTGACTTGGGTGGGAAAACCATCCCAGGCCATTCAGGGAGCCTCTCAGCTTGCTGTTCTTCCAGTGATCCACACATTCATTTCCTTAGATATGTGTCCATTGTCTGGAATTTTTCTAGTCTATTCTGGTTTGTTATACACTACACTATGCTACCACTGTAGGGATTCTTGGTCACTAGAACTAATGATTTGCAAAAATCACATTAAGACTTGAAGATGCTGTGGGTGGGATGGAAAGGTTTTGCAGTGCTTTGCAGGTCCTCTTCTCTGTGAACCCCAAAGCCCGCACACATGCACCGAAAGAATCACCTTTTCATTTGGTATTTTTTTCCTTTTTCCTTCAGAAATGAAAACAAAAATAGGTATTGTATTATATCTTAGTCAACACTAAATGGAAATTAGTGTTTACCAAATCCTCTATTTAAAAAGTGACAACAGAGAATCAGAAAAGTGAAAAGGAACCAGTGTAGAATCTGAAGATTGGCCAAGGATAATGTGTACTTATGGATCTGAGTGTTTTTTAAAAAAATAGCCTTTTTGCAGACAACAGAACAGATTTCTCAGATGATCAAAAAAATTCAAAAATACGCCTTTGGGCAGGAAGTAGTACTATAACTGATGAAAAAGCCACGTGATGCGTAGAACTCTAAAGACCTATTTCATGTGTGTTGAAGTTGGCGGCAATGGGCCAGCTGCTCTGGATTACTTTGAGTAATTCTATATTGTGATTTGGATTTTCTTTTTCTCAGTAGCCTTAAATATAAGGTAAGAGAGAGAATTTTTGTCTGCTTTGTCTCCAAATACATTGGCTGTATTAATAACTCTATTGCTGGACCATTTGTGCTTCTGGGGAAGGTCTTCTATACAGGCAGTATTAGGATACAAAGAGCAGGACCTAGTGGGGACGAGGGGATTATGACAGTTCATCAGTTCATCGTTTGGGATCCTGAGCACATGAATTGATAAATTCTACTAAATTAGTAGGATCACTATCAGTGTTTTATAGATTTTTTTTTCACCCAGAGCTGGGAATCAAATCCCTGCCTTATGCACACTGGGGAAGTGCTCTACCACCAAGTCACACCTTCCACCCCATAGTACAGATTCTCCTGCTAGAGAAATCTTTTCTCCCTTATAAAACTTACAGTCAAAGACCCAGTGGAAAACAGAACAAAACACCCATTCCCCCCCTCACACACACAAAAAAATCAACTGAGAAGATCTAGGGAAGTCACTGAGTATCACAAAGTAGAATCCTCTGGGGGGTTCTTTTAGTTTTACAAGATGTTTAAAAATTCCTTCTTAACAGACAAGTTAATTTATCAGTGAAATGGAAAGTTGCACATATAACATTTGTCACTCCTTTTAGCAGCTTTGCCACAACTGCAAGACACTGACGACACATTAACTTGTCATCCATTAAATACAAATCCCTCCAAATAGGAACATTGAGCTAGAACACTTGAAAGATTTCCCCCCCCCCAGGGCCATACTGTATTGCAGATTACCTCATTCACAGAACTCTCCAGTAAATATCCACCTTTACCTTTCAGGAAGTTAATGGGGCAGAATTTTCAATTTAAGAAGCACATGTTTCTCCTAGAAACTGTTAAGCTGTCTGCTATTTTGAATAATTTATTTTAAAAGACCCAAACCTTACTAAAAATTTTTTAATCCAGTCAGAGTTAAGGCCTAGGTACAACACTACACATGGGTAGTGTTGCTGGTGAATTGTGCATAATTGAGTATCCAATTCCATCATGGTGCAAGCAATATGATGGTTAATTTTATGTATCAACTTGACTGGGTTGTGGGATGCCAGGACAGCTAGTAAAACATTATTTCTATGTGTGTCTGTGAGCGCATTTCTGGAAGAGATCAGTGTTTGAACTTTTAGCTACACTGGTGGGCACCATCCAGTCTGTTGAATATCTGAATAGAATGAAAGGGTGGAGGCAGAATAAATTTATTCTCTTGCTTGAACTGAGACATTCATCTTTTCCCCTTGGAGATGGGCACTCCTGAACCCAGACTGAGATTTATAGAACTGGTTTCTCTTTTATTCTTAGGATTTTGGATTGAGATTGGAATTATACCATTAGCTTTCCTGGGCCTCCTGGGACTTCCAACTCTCCATAATCTTGTGAGCTAATGTCTCCTAATAAATTTCTTTCTATATATCTCTTATGGTTTAAATAAAAGCTCACATGTTAGACAATGCAAGGATTTTCAGAGGTGAAATGATTAGATTATGAGACCACAACATAGTCAGTGGATTGATTCACTGATATAGATTAACTGAGCAATAATTATAAGTAGATAGGATGTAGCTGGAGGAAACAGGTCACTGGGGGCATGCTTCCGGGCTTTACATTTTGTCCCTAGTGAGAGGAGCTCTCTCTGCTTCCTGGTTGTCATGTTCTGAGCTGCCTTCCTCTGCTACACTCTTCTACCATGATGTTCTGCCTCATCTTGGGCCCAGAGCTATGGTGTTGCCTGACTATGGACTGAGCCTCTGAAAGCATGAGGAAAAATCAACTTTTCCTCCTCTAATTGTTCTTGTCAGGTCTTTTGTTCACAAAAACACAAAGCTAACTAAGCAATGTATTTTTATATATCATTGTTTCTATGTCTTTGAAAAATCCTAACTAATACAATCAAGTACAACACTGACTTCCTATGTCTTGGTTGCCACTTATCCTGAGTTAGCTTAGCTATGATTCCAACTTCCCTCACCCATACACAAGTTTACAGGGACCTCAACAAATGGCCTGCTTGTCTCCTCCAGTATCTCAAATAATATCTCTAGGTTCTGATTTCCTTTGCATTTTTAAATCTGCTTCACTTCATCTATCAAAGATGCACTGAACACCTACTAGGTGCCAGGCACTGAGCTGGTTGGATGTGTGGAAGCTTACTTTCCAGGAGTGGGAGGCAGCAAAATAATGATAATATGTTACACAAATACAAAATTCATCCCAGGTAGTAAGAAATGCCATTAAGTAGATAAAGTAGAATAATGGGACAGAGACTAAACAATGGTGGGAAGGAGAGAGGCTACTGAAGATAAACTGGAGGGCTTGGGATGTCAGCAGTAGAACACTTGCTTAGCATGTGCAAAGCCCTGGATTGGATGCCTTGCACCAGGAAATGAATGAATGAATAAATGAATAAGTAAATAAATAAATCAGTGACACTCTCAGGAATGGACAGTTATCTCTGGTTCAGTCTTTGAGAACTTTACTACGTTTTTGTCACCTTTGCTTGGCTCTTTGTGGTTAATGCCTCAGTAGGAGCATCTTTCTACTTCTGATCTCTGCCCTCCTGCTCTTTTGTTCTCTTTGTATTTCCCAGCTATGACCATTCTGCCCCCTCCTGCTTCTAGAGCTAAAGATGCCACCTGCTGTATTATTTTGCCAGAGCTGTCATTACAGAGTACTACAAATTGGGTAGCTTCACAACATAAATTTATTGTGTCCCAGTTCCAGAGGCTACAAGGTTGAGAGGGTGGCAAGATTGGTTCCTTCCCAGGGCTGTGAGGAGGAATCTGTTCCATGCCTCTCTTCCAGATTTTGCCATTCTTTGGCTTGTAAATGTGTCAACTTGATCTCTGCTTTCATCTGCATGTAGCATTCCACTGTGTGTATATCTTTTGTTCCTGAGTTTCCCCATTTTATAAGGACACCATATTGTCCACGTTAATGACCTTTCTGTAACTTTACTTGTTTATAGACTCTATTTCCAAATAGTGTCACATTCTGAGGTACAGGAGTCAAAGAATTCAACACATCTCTTTTGCAGGGCACAGTTCAACCTGTTGAATCCACTTTCCTGGGTAGCAGTAATGAAATACGTTGCTCCACAGACATTTCTCCTTCACACTTTAATTTTTCCTGATTTAAGCTGGTAAACAAGCAAGTAAATTCTTGGTTGGTAAACTAAACTTTCAAAGGTTGAAAAACTTGTAATTAGCATTCGAAGAAGAGTAAAACATAAATGTGAAAAGGGACACAAAATTTGGTTTATTTTTTTTAGATTTAAAAAGAAAGAAAGAAAAGTCAGCTTATGACCATATGAAGTGTGTCATAGTTTTAAGTAGTCCTTCAGTCCTGCCACCTTCTTTTTCCTCTGACTCCTTTAAAAATTCACACTAGTCGAGAAAGACAAGCCAGGACTGTGGCATTTCCTAGACCGACAGTTCCTGAGATACTGGCTTGGTTTCTGGAGAAAACGACCATTCTCCTGTGTCATCTCAAATTACCAGCATTTCTATTATTGGGAGCCAATTTGGGATATTCATAGAGTACATGGCACTACAAAAGTGGCTTTAATAAAAATAAATTTGCATACTAACATTAAAAAAATGGTGAAGAGAGAGCAGTTGGGAAAAAGTAAAGTCACTGCAACCATTTCAAAGAGAGGCAAGACAGGAAAATGGGGGGTACGTGGCAAGAAAGCACTAACTACTTCTGCTTATGAGATGCTTTTTCAATGGGCGAGGCTCTGGTGATTCACAGTACCAAGTAAAATACCTTCTGAAAAAATGTTTTCATCTCTAATGACTTTCCTCAGAGCAGGTAGATGAGTGAAATCAAAGTATCTTCATTCTTTGGGGGAAACACAGGAATTCAGACTGCAACAGAACTAATTGATGAATGAGCCCCCTAAGCCAGAGCTTCTAGTAGGCTGCATTAATTTGGCATATGGTTATCCTGATGTGCCCAGCTCTCTCCCTTTTTCTTGTTCTGGTAATTATTCTGTAAATAAGCACAGGAGAGAAAGAAATAAAGTACAATTAACACTAGATAATGGTCCTTCAAAGAAGAATTTCATAAGCCACTATGTTATCCAGCTCGATAAGTTATTATCTTTCTGAGTGACAGGGGATGACTCTCTCCAGTCTTTCTTTTAAGCAAGTCCTCTGGCTATGTAAAGAGCCATGCCCATCTGCAGAAGTTGAAATCCCCGAGTGCCCTTAGGAGCAAAGATAGACACGGAGCTAATTTGTTCCTTTTAAAAATTTAATTATGAATCTTTTCAAAGAGACCCCATAATTGAACGGACCCAATAGATCATGTGCAGCAGGAAGTGGCAAAAAGCAAATGGTAAGTTCATCATGACTTGGCAGCTGAAATCATTTCCCTCCCAAATCTAGAAGAAATGGTTTGAACCTTTCTCCTTTCCAAGTAACATATCTTGACATTTATTCAAAAGATCTGTATAAATCCCTGCATTGGGAAGAATAGGGCCAACTTGAGAGAGAGGAGGGATGGGTTGTCTTCGTGTGGGCTCAGGGCTCTTGCTCTTCTGAAAGCCACACTTTATTTCACGAGGAGAATGTGCACTTCAAATTAGAAGGGAAGATTATAGCTTTCTTCAAATCAATGTGTTGCCCTAGTTCTAGAATTCAGAGTTTTTTTTTTAACATGGCTACAATCCTCTCAGGGAAAAATGAAAATGAGGATATCTCATTATTTTAAATAAATGCTTGGCTTCCTTTGCAGTGATGGATATTGTATCTTATATAAGACACGTTTTTAAAGACAGGAAGAGCAATCACTTATTTAATCATAGGCGCCTGGAAGCTTGGCAGTCAGATTGAGCCTCGGGTGGAGCTTCTCTATTGGGAAAGGAAATGCCAGTATTTTTTATTAGAAATGTGGAAGAGGATGAGAGGAAAGACATCTGACTAATATAAACAGCAGCTGGGAGAATTTTAAAATGATGAGCTATGTGATACCAAAAGAGTATTCATTTGTCCCATTATTATTATTTTTTTTTGTGGGGGGAGGCTGATATAAATGCCCATCTTTAGAAACCAGAAAAAAAAATCACTGTGTTCATGCATTTACTGTCTAAAATGTAAAAGTCTAGGGAGATCTCTTAATTCATTGCAGAGAGGTAATATTAAATACTATTTCAAAAGAATAATATTAGTACTATGAAACAACTGATAACATAGGGAAGAGAATGTGGGATTTTTCCTTTCCTTCCTTTTTGTTTTCTAACTCAAATGCTCCCTTAACAATATCAGCTTATTAGAATCCCAAATAGCCCCAAATAATTTTTTGTAGATGCTGCCGGTGGATATTATTTTGTAGGTAATCAATTCTATGTCATCAGAAGACCCAGACTCATCTCCCCAATTTTAGTCATCAGATCTGAAGCCCCTGAAAACCTATGCTTCTATTTCCTTATTGATCAAATGAGAATTTTAAAAACTGGTTGGGCTTTGCAGAGTCATTGTAAGGACCAAGTGAGATAGTATGCTTGAAAATACTTTACAAGCTGAATAGTGCTACATGAATGTAAAGCATTGTCACTATTCATATAAACATGATAAATATAGTCAGAAAGGATTGCCTATAAAATGTTTCACGAGGAATGATCAGCCAATGTATCTTGACTAATTAGTACAAAAGTGGTTTTCTTACTTGGCTATTGCTCAAAAAGAAAAAAATAGCACTTGGTATCTCCAGTTGACTGTTTTCATAAGAAGCTTTCAATTTCATTTTTTATGCCTGGTATAAAAAGGCCTTGCACTTGTGTTGAGAAAAAAGGAAGGGGCATGTAGGTTAGAGGAAATGTCATTATGTCTATTTATCATTAGCACTAAGTGACATAACATTAGAATTTTTTTCTAATATAACTTCAGAATCAACAGTTGATAGAAAACATTCAAGATGAAGTTCGGCAATGAAATCTTGGGGAATTTTTTTTTCCTTAAAATATTACTTAGGTTCAGAATTGCATGAACCCTCACTGATGAGGAATTCTGATGCTGGTACTTTCTTTGCAATCCCCCCTGAAGAAAGACTTCTTTCACATTTGGGATTTTTAGTCTCTTTATTTGCTAGCTCCTCCTTTGTTTCTAGAAATGCTGTCTTTCCTTTGCTTGGAAAAATGACCAAGACCAACCAGATTTTCTCTTGACCCTGACATTACCTTCAATTATTGTCAGTTTCCTTCTTGATTTCACACCACGGCAAAAATTGAGTGCTCTCTCCTGTGTCTTCCTCATTTCCTTAGCTATTTAACTCCTGAACCTCTCAGAATAACACACCATGGCATTCTGAGGAAAGTGGGGAAACTGTCCCAGTCCCTTCCTCCCTGGTGTCAACTGCCTTTGATACACTGGGACACTCTTCACTTCTGCACTCACACTCATCAGCACTCACACTCTTGAGTACATGGATTCTGCTATTTTCTCTCCAACATTGTTTTCTGGGAAGATGGGTTGATGCCCTCACATCCTTCCTATTTTTAGTACTGCCCTTTTCCTTATCCTGAAGGGAGAAGTTTTACTTCTATTTTGCTCCCCCTCTCTTTGGAAGATGGTATATTTCAGAGCACAGTGTTTTAACCCAAACACACTTCAATTCTCATTCTTTTGTTACTTTTCCAGAAAAACTGGGAAGTTTATCTCATGGACAAGCTAAACCAGTGTGTAAGACAGAGTCTGTTGAAGACCACAAAAAAGTAAAAATGAATGAATAAATAGATAAATGACATTATGTGTACCTATACAGATGCGAACTTTGTTTTTCTTCAATTTTGAGATGTCAGGTTGTTGCTAAAATGTAAAAATTATCATGCAGAGGATATTTTGCTTGGACCATTAGAGATGAATTTCTATGAAATTCTGAGGCTATTTTAAATTTAAAGACTGTATTTTAATAGTCTTTTATTCACCAAGACCTGCTCAGATGATTATAAGTGATTTTTCTAAGAAATTTTAAGTTATTTCATTTCTTTTTCTCTTAGCACATAATTTGAAAGTCCATCAGACAGTTTTCAAGTTCTGTAGAAGGAGAATTTAGGAAAGGTCTCTAATAGTATAGTTAGAAACTGGTCAATTATAAAAGGAAATAGTCCTTTTTGAAAATACACATGACACCATACAAATGCAAAACCATCAGAAATTAAAGGAAAAAAAATGATCTCTTGCCATTCTTTCCTATTTCACTTCAGTCAGAAAGGTAACCATTTTCATGACTGGGTACAATACTATAGCATGTAATCCCTAAGATGTGCTAAATCAAATTTACAACATTTAGTCATTACTTCTTTTGAAATACTACATTAAGCAATGGTTTCTCTTTAATGAATTCCTACTACTTTCTAGGATTATATAATATACTTTATAAGTAAAATGTTATGTTATGATTTGGACCTGCATTGTTCCCCAAAGGCTCATACATTGAAGGCTTTGTCCCCAGCAGCAGTGTTCAGAGGTGGGACTTTTAGGAAGGGCTTTGACCTCATCAGTGGTTCAGTTTATTGAGGCATCATGATTTGAATGGTTTATTGGGAGGTAGTAGAAAGTGTAGTTAATGGGAACTAGTAGAAAGGGATGGTTCCTTGTGGGGCATGTCCTTAGGCACTTTATCTTGGCCCAGGCTTCCTCTTCTTTGTTTCTGATTCCCTGCTGCTGACTGCCATGAACTATGCAGTTTTTTTCCTCTTCACACCTTTTTGCCATCGTGTTCTGCCTCATCTCAGGTCTAGAACAATGGAGCCAGCTATGAAAACCTCTAAAAATATGAGTCAAAATACATCTTTCCTCCTTTAAGTTATTTTTCTCAGATATTTGTCACAGCTATAGCTGTCTAACCTATCTTGCTGACAATATTTCTACTAAGAAGTAAATTGTCATGGTTCCCATCTTATAGAAGAAAGTAAGTCCAGAGAGATAAAGCAATTTGCTCATCTTCATATAGATAACGAATGATTAAGCCTGGATTTGAACATAGATCTACTAAACTGTAATATGTGGGTCTTTATACCACAATGTGCATTTCACATTTTGCCTGGTAGACAGGAAATATTTTTCATATGTCTTTTAATTATCCATGAAGTAATGTGAGAGGTAGGGAAAATGGACTCATAGCTTCAATGCATCTCACCTTGGCTCTGAGCTTCTGTTTCATAGTATAGATGTGTCAGTCTATATTATATATGTGTCTGTGTTTATAGAGCTAAACACAAATTGAAGAACCCATCTCCATTAGCTGGGCTAGTCCCTTCCAAATATTGATATCTTGAAAGTCCAATCAGTAGAATGCTTGGAATTCATGGAATTCTACATTAAAAGGAAATAGTTGTTCTTAAGGTCTATTTTAACTAAGCTCTGAAGGCCAGGTGAGCTACTCATCTCTACCATTACAAGGCACTCATTTATTTTGGGAAGACTATAAGATTTGGTACCAGAAGGCTCTGCCATTTAACAAGCTAAGTGACTGTGGTCAAGAAATTCTCCATTTATGGACAATTTGCCAAGTTTTAGCAACTCAATTCTCATGCCAAAACCCCTTTAATATTTATTCCTGGAAATGGAGCAATTGTAAAAGAAGCTGAAATCTACAGTCTAGTTTCCCAGGCTCCTTTACAACTATGATAAAGTTGTATGATGTAGTTGCTACCATCAGATGCCTCCGGGCAAGACATAGCTGCAGGAGGGAGCAACACCAGGAGGCAACAGCTTTCTGACTCTTGGAATCTCCTAGGAAGCACTTGGGAGACAAGGGCATTTGATTTTTCTTGAATGAGCAGAGAAAGATTTACAGCCTCCACAAGCAAACATCATAGCTCTAAATCGAGGCACAGGAGGTGGTGGAGCGTCCCATGAAACAGTTCCAGAGAATGCAAGTACCTTTGGGCCGCCTTGTCCTTGACCATGATGTTCTAGCTGGGTAGTTGCCAAATCTGGGTCTTACCTTCTCAGAAAGTGCCCTAGCTACCTAATGCTTTTTCTACC